AAATTTAGCAAAAACATCAATTTATTTATTTATTAATTTTACTCGGAAATTTTTCAAAGTTTTGGCGAGTGTCTGCCCTTTGAAGCAAACCACTATGGAGTTGTTCGGTCTAGATTGACATCAAAGTCAGGTACTATTTCATCTATAATTGATGATTTTATTGTTGGCGGAATAAGCACGAGAATTTTTTAACTAGAATGGATAGAAGCATAAGAAGCGAATTCCTATTAAATTATATGGAAAACTCTTTTTATTTGAATGGCATTCAATATGTTGTGTATATATACTACATATATACAGCTAATAGTCAAGCTTTCTGCAACTCGATGCCTCTGCTTCTTCTAAGTTCTTATCTACTATGTAGCATTATAATATAATAATATGGTGTGCCGAATACGTCACTGGGTGTACGATTGGTATTCTTCCCCAGGTAACCGGGGAAGGCCCGCGACATAACCTGCATAAAGGCATTTAACGATTGAAGAAAGATAACTTCGCGCAAAAGTTTGCAAGATTGCACTCTGGTGGGAGAGCCCTCTGTTCACTAGATTGTACCTTAGGAAGGTCTGTTTCTTGGGTGCAAACTTTAGGCGAAACTACACAAGCTACTGTTTTGAAGCGGATTTTTCCACTAATATCCGATCAGAATATTTTTTATACCACATTTTAGATGAATATTTTCTAAAGCATCTTCATCCACTTTGTAACTATTTGTATCGAATTTGTATTAATGTCTGCAATATATATATATATATATCCTTTGTAGTTTTTGCTTATTGTCAAGTTGTAACCAGTTTTGGAATATTAGATGCAGCCATCAGTCGCGTACTTGACGTGGATCAACCTTTATTTTCCATTTTATTACAACTGGCGGCTCCTTGTGAAATATTAAGAAATCACTCATGATCACTATCCACTAGCAACCGAAATTGTAAATAATAAGAAATTCACTCACCAGTGAATTCACTATTTTTCTTTGTAAAATTTATGTATATATATTAAGACTAGAATTTTATATAATTTTTTAATCACTTTATTAAATAGACATATATTAGAACTAGAATTTTATATAATTTTTTATTCACTTTAATAAAT